CGGCTCCTCAGCCTGCAGCGCGCGGACAGGAGGCAGGGGGCGCTCGCGGGGCTCTGCACGCGGGACTCGGGGACGGGGCGCTTTCGCTTCCGGCCGGCGCGCGGGGCCGCGCATGCGCGTTCAGGAGCCTCGCGCGTGCAGTGTCGCGAGGCTGGCGTTGCGGCATCGGTTTGCGCACGCGACGCCAGCGGGGGTTTCTACCTCGCGTTAAATCTCTCCTTGTGTGGCGCGGCCCGGCACGGCGTGGCTTCTTGTGGGACGCCCTGACCGACTGACCCAGGTCCTAGTCCACAGCATCTCAGCGCTGGCCGCCGACTCGCGACGTCACCCACCCCAGTCGTCTAGGGCCCGACCCCTCCCCTAGGCCGTGTTCCTCCTCCCGCCCCGAGGGCAAGGTTGGCCCTTGCCTTCAGGGCCTTCCAGCACTTCCGCCTTCAATCACTGAAGGCTTTGCGGAGGCCTAAGCCGAGCTGGAGTAGAGTCCCGCCCCGGGCCGTCCACCTAAGGTCTTGGGGGCCTGAGCCCCATCCTGCAGCTCCCCAGGTCCTGATGGCGGGAGGAGAGAGTGTACACCTCCGTCAGGGAGGCTCCAATCTCCCTGAGCCCTAAGGAGAGAGCAGCTCAGCGCTCCGGGGGTGGGGCTTCCTCGGCCCTCGGGCCACGTGGGTGAAGCTGGCAGGGACAGGTGCGGCCCTCAGGTGTGGCCGCTGCGCTGCCAGGCGACGCTGCCGCATCGGGACCTCCCCAGGACCCCCCCGGCTGTGGTGTTCTACCTTCGGGCCCCTTCCCTGCAGCCCCTGTCTGTGTTTTCTTTCCTCTCCTATGCTCTGCCTCCCCAAAGCCCACCTCCACCCCTGAGTCTCCCAGGCAGGGACACGCCGCATCAGTTGCCCCTGAAGCATGGTTCCGGAGATAAGTGCAGACAGGGATGGAAGCATCTCCTGCCAGCCTTTCCCTGGGCGCAGCTGAGCCCGGGGGACTACAACTCCCAGACGTCGCAGGACTGCAACCCTTTTGTGTGGCCGGGACTCTCGTTAGTGACAAATTCGCTGGCCAATAGCTTCAACAGCTTCACCCTTTCTCAAGCTCAGATACCAATCACGAAGTGGTTGGATGGATGCTTCCTATTTTGAGGCATCCACTCAGAAAAAAAAAAAAAAATGGAATTGAAAGAAAAAATGTTTCAGCCCAGTTCTCGGGCTAAAATAGGAGCGAAAACTTTCCTTTTTTTGAAAAATGAAGTATGATCTAGTTTTCCTGATCTAGCTTCTAATATTCTGTATGTTCTGTCTCTTGTGGGTCATTTTTCCTGATTTCAGATTGTCGATGTTATTGTTGGCAAAGACGAAAAAGGCAGAAAGATCCCAGAATATCTGATCCATTTTAATGGTTGGAACAGAAGGTAAGTGTATGTGTTAAACTGGACGGAAGACTAGCTTTGCAGCCCAGGAACATTGCAAACTTTTTTTGTTGTGCTTGAGAAGCCCTTGTAGAAAAGTTTCATTTCCTGGTTTTGCTTTGTTATCAAGGTTTGCCTGTTCTAAGGAATGATTGTTTTTAAGTGGATTATATTTGCATCATCTCTGGGTAATTCTGGAAACCCCACTTTTTTCTGTGTCTGAGTGAGTTTCTTTTTCCAGTTCTTTTGTGTGCTGTTTGTGATTTTAAAATATTTAAACAGTGTTCTAAAATGACAGTAATTCTGGGACACTTCTGTTCCTGTGAGGTGCTTTTAGCATTTATTTCAGGATCAAGCTAAAATCCGGAGTTTTACATTCTCTTCTTTTTTCTGTTCAATCAGCTGGGATAGGTGGGCAGCTGAAGATCATGTGCTTCGCGACACTGATGAAAACCGTAGATTACAGCGCAAATTGGCAAGAAAAGCTGTAGCTCGCCTGTAAGAATACAAAGATCGTGTCATAAATATTATTCGATGTCTTTTGTCTTTGTGTTTAGCATTTCATGATATAAAATTAATCGAATGACAAAAACATGGCTTACTAAATAACTATGTATTTAAAGTGTGTGAGCGAGGAGTGTTCCTTTTTTATTCTAAATAATTGCAGTTTATTCACAGTGGTTATTGCATAAGATTCTGAAATGGAGATCACTGTTTATGTTCTAGGGTTTAATTTTTTCCAAGTATTCAAGAATCATTGTTTACTGTGTTTTGTGTTTTATCTCAAGACCCATGCCAGTCAGTGTCAAAATTTATTTTACACGTGCTTATTTTATTTTTTTAACAGAAGGAAAGGAAGAAAGAAGAAGCGCTGCAGGTTGCCCGGTGTCGACTCTGTTTTAAGAAGCCCCTCTGTTGAAGAAAAAGATGAAAATGCTGAAAACTGTGTGTGGCTTGACTTCATTTTCTTTGGTTAAAAGAAGTTTCACTTGTCTTTTTGTTCTGCAGGGCTGATGGGAGGATTCAGTGAAATGGGAAACAAAGAAACATTTTAAGGCCATTATATATCACATTCGCCCCTTTTGATTTTTGACAGTGAAAGTAGCCCTCATTATTATTTTGAGATCTCGTCAGAGTCTTTTTCCCGGTCACTGCTTTCTCGGCCAGCATCTTTATGCTGACACCTCATGGGTGTTTCTCGTGTTTTCTTCTCGGCACCTCCTGGCCGTTGGCCTCATTGATGAATGTAACAGAGAACCATAGGATCCTAGTTGACTAAACACTTTGAGGTCATGAGCTTCTGTGATTTTCACATCCATGGAAATTGGTGTTAGATTTTTAAAAATACTTGTTCTGAAAGGTACAGTATTTGTGTTTAGCATGTAAAGTACATCTAGGAGTACAGTTTATTACCAGCAGGCTGCACGCTACACAGAGTTGCAGACATCAGGGCTGGTGAAGTCTGTAATGAAGGCTGATGGTTTTGTTTTCCTTAGCAATAAGCAGTTCTTCTGAGGACACTAGTGAAGAAACAGATGAGGAAATAAGCGACGAAAGTGATACCGAAGAAAAGAGCGACGTGGTACGAAGTTTTTATTATGAAAACTCTTTTTCTTTGGTATATGTTTTAGTGGTAAATTTATGTGGTGAAATTCTCCAGTTGTGAATTATTTTCTAAAAGTAGATTGTTTTTCCAAATATACATGTTTACGTGACCTATAAAGAAAAGCAAAATAGCCCTATTTATACTATCGTATAGACTCTAGGAGTCTTTCAGTAGCCATTTGTGCCCATAAAGTGTCTTCGTAAATGACAAAGTTACCTCTTTCCAATGAAACTGTTAACTTTATTTTTTATAACGATGGTTAATTAACGGAGTGTATCAGAGTTTGACAGGCATCTGTTTGCCTCCAAAGTTAACAAAACCCACCTATGAGCTTAATTGGGGAAGGAAAACAATAGACGTTTACAATATAGTACTAAGTGCCATAAAATAAGTTAACTTTTGGTTTTTAGCTTTTAACGAGAACACGTGCCATGATTTGTTTCGTCAGTGTTGTGAATTCACTGGGTTTGTGTCAGAGGAAGCTCTCGTGTTAGTACTTTTGTGGATATAGACTCTCTTGCATTTTTAAATAGTTAAACATGGAATTGTGATATTGCAGAAAGAAGAACCAGAGCTGCACGCAAAAAGGGAAATGGAAGAGAGGACAATAAGTATAGAAATCCCTGAAGTTCTGAAGAAGAAGCTGGAGGACGATTGCTACTATATTAACAGGAGGAAGCGGGTAGATAAGAACAGAAAAAGCGGAGTTTTTAATAGAGTTGTCATTTAGCCATATTTTGTAACCATAGGCTCAAAGCTAGCCCTGGCTGCCCATTAGCATCCTCTAAGGAGCTTTCCTAAATTCTGATGCCTGGGCTCCAACCAAGAGGTTAAGACTTAAATGATCTGTAGTGGGGGCCAGCCGTAGGTATTTTTTAGAAGCTCCCTGTGGTGGTCTAGTGGATCTCTAAAATTGAGAACCATTGCTTATATTTATTTGAAAAATTAATTAATTCTATAATCAAAATGAGTGTTTAATCAGTAGAAGACCATATTTCTTTAGGAGGTTCTAATTGGGTTCTCAGAGGATCCCTGGTGGTGCAGTGGTTCAGAGCTCAGCTGCTAACCAAAAGGTCAGCAGTTTGAACCCACCAGCTGCTTCTGTAAAGATTTACAGCCTTGGAAACCCTATGGGGCAGTTCTACTTTGTCCCATAGGGTCATTATGAGTTGGAGTTGGCTCAGCGGCAACGGGTATGGGTTATTTGAACATAATTGGCTTAGTTTCTTTATTTTTGAGTCAAAAAAGCAATGTAGACATGATCACTTTTTCTTGGAATGGTTCATACAATGGAATGTGTACATCAAATGCCTATGTTTTTGTTAACAGTTAGTGAAACTTCCATGCCAGACCAACATCATAACTATTTTGGAGTCCTACGTGAAGCATTTTGCTATCAATGCAGCCTTTTCAGCCAATGAAAGACCTCGTCACCATCACGTTATACCACACACCAACATGAATGTGCATTACATCCCAGCAGAAAAGAAGTGAGTGTTCAGCATTTTGTGGTCCTCTCCTTGTGTGTTAGAGAAGTGACTTCAGTTAGAGCAGGTGGCGCTTTTCTCCATTTCAGTTATTTTGAGTTTATATCTCACGGTCACTTTCCCTATCTTTACTTTGGAGGTAATAAGATTCAGTGTTCTTTATATGTAAGAAAACCTGAGCCTAGGGAGTTGATCATTTCCCAGTGCTCACCACGCCAAGACTCAGGTACAGGTATAACCTGATCTATTTCGGAGACAACCCACCACAGTGCTGCTGTTGTTAGGTGCCGTCAGGTTGGTTCCGACTAATAGCGACCCTATGTACAACAGAATGAAACACTGTCCAGTCCTGCACCATCCTCACAGTCGTTGCTGTGTTTGAGCCCATTGTTGCAGCCACTGTGTCACTCCATCTTGTTGAGGGTCTTCCTCTTTTTCACTGACCTTCTACTTTACCAAGCATGATGTCATTCTCCAGGGACTGATCCTTCCTGATAACATGTCCAAAGTGTGTGAGGTGGAGTCTTGCCATCCTCGCTTCTAAGGCGCATTCTGGCTGTACTTTTTCAAGACGGATTCGTTTGTTCTTCTGGCAGTTCATGGTATGTTCAATATTCTTTGCCAACACCATGATTCAAAGGCATCAATTCTTCCGTCTGCCTTATTCGTTGTCCAGCTTTTGTGTATATGTGAGGCGATTGAAAACACCGTGGCCTGGGTCAGGCGCACTTTAGTCTTCAAGGTGACATCTTTGGTTTTCAACATTTTAAAGAGGTCTTTTGCAGCAGATTTACCCAGTGCCAATACATCTTCTGATTTCTTGACTGCTGCTTCCATGGGTGTTGATTGTGGATCCAAGTGAAATGAAATCCTTGACAACTTCAATCTTTTCTCTGTTTGTCATGATGAAGCTTATTGGTCCAGTTGTGAGGATTGTTGTTTTTTTTTATTTTGAGGTGTGGTGCATACTGAAGGCTGTGGTCTTTGATCTTCATCAGTAAGTACTTCAAATTCTCTTCACTTTTAGCAAGCAAGGTTGTGTCATCTGCATAACGCAAGTTGTTAATGAGTCTTCCTCCAATCCTGATGCCCCGTTCTTCATATAGTCCAACTTCTTGGATTATTTGCTCAACATACAGATTGAATAAGCATGGTGAAAGATAGAACCCTGACGCGCCCCTTTCCTGATTTTAAGCCACGCAGTATCCCCTTGTTCTGTTCAAACGACTGCTGCTTGGTCTATGTACAGGTTCCGCATGAGCACAATTCAGTGTTCTGGAATTCCCATTCTTTGCTGCTATCCGTAATTTGTTATGAGCCACACTGCTGAATGCCTTTGCGTAATCAGTAAAACACAGGTAAACGTCTTTCTGGTATTCTTTACTTTCAGCCAGGATCGATCTGACATCATCAGTGATATCCCTTATTCCATGTCTTCTTCTGAATCCGACCTGAATTTCTGGCAGTTCCCTGTTGATGTACTGCTGCAGTCGCTTTTGAATTATCTTCAAAATTTTACTTGAATGTGATGTCAATGATATGGTTTGATAATTTCCATATTCTGTTGGATCACCTTTCTTTGGAATGGGCACAAATAGGCTCTCTATCGGTTGGCCAGGTAGCTGTTTTCCAAATTTCTTGGCATAGACAAGTGAGCACTTCCAGTGCTGTGTCTGTTTGTGAAACATCTCAGTTGGAATTCCGTCAGTTCCTGGAGCCTTGTTTTTCACCAGTGCTTTCATTGCAGCTTGGACTTCTTCCTTCAGTACCATTGGTTCTTGATCATATGGTACCTCTTGAAATGGTTGAATGTCAACCATTTCTTTTTAGTACAGTGACTCGGTGTGTTCCTTCCATCTTCTTTTGATGCTTCCTGCGTTGTTTATATTTTGCCCATAAACCAAAGCCTGTTGCTGTCGAGTTGATTCCAACTCATAGCGTCCCTATCGGACAGAGTAGAACTGCCCCATAAGGTTTCCAGGGAGCGGCTGATGGATTCGGACTGCCAACCTTTTGATTAGCAGTCGAACGCTTAACCATTGTACCACCAGGACTCATAAAATCCTTAAAAATTGCAACTGGAGGCTTGAATTTTTTCTTCAGTTCTTTCAGCTTGAGAAATGCTGGGCGTGTCCTTCCCTTTTGGTTTTATAACTCTAGGTCTTTGTACATTTCATTATAATATTTTTTCTTCTCAGGTCACCCTTTGAAATCTTCTGTTCAGCTCTTTTACTTCATCATTTCTTCCATTTGCTTTAGCTACTTTACGTTCAAGAGCAAGTTTCAGAGTCTCTTCTGACGTCCATTGTGGTCTTTTCTTTCTTTCCTGTCTTTTTAATGACCTTTTGCTTTCTTCACATACGAAGTCCTTGATGTCATCATCCCACTGCTTGTCCGATCTTCGGTCATTAGTGTTCAGTGCATCAAATCTGTTCTTGAGGTAGTCTCTGAACTCTGATGGGATATACTCAAGGTTGTATTTTGGTTCTCGTGGACTTGTTTTAATTTTCTTCCGCTTCAGCTTAAACTTGCATATGAGCAGTTGATGGTCTGTTCTGCAATTGGCCCCTGGCCTTATTCCGACTGATGGTATTGAGATTCTCTATAGTCTCTTTCCACAGATGTAGTTGATTTGATTCCTGTGTTTTCCATTTGGTGACGTCCACGTGTATAGTTGCTGTTTATGTTGTTGAAAAAAGGTATTTGCAATGAATAAGTTGTTGGTCTTGGAAAATTCTATCATGCGATCTCCGACATCGTTTCTGTTACTAATGCCATATTTTCCAGCTACAGATCCTTCTTCTTCGTTTCCAACTTTTGCATTCCAGTTGCCAGTAATTATCAATGCATCTTGATGGCATGTTTGATCAATTACAGGCTGCAGGAGTTATAAAAATCTTCAATTTTCTCGTCTTTGGCATTAGTGGTTGGTGCATCAGTTTGAATAATAGTTGTATTAATTGGTCTTTCTTGTAGGTATGCGTGTGTATGTTATTCTATTATTGACAGCCCTGTACTTCAGGATAGATCTTGAAGTGTTTCTTTTCATGATGAATGCGACACCATCCTTCTTCAATTTGTCATTCCTGGCATAGTAGACCATATGATTGTCCGACTCAGAATGTCCAATACCAGTCCATTTCAGCTCACTAATGTCTAGGTTATCAATCTTTATGCAGTCCATTTCATTTTTGACGACTTTCATTTTTCCTAGTCATACTTTATATATTGTACGTTCCAATTATTAATGGATGTTTGCAGTTGTTGCTTCTCGTTTTGAGTTGTGCCACATCAGCAAATGAAGGTCCCAAAAGCTTTACTCCATTCATGTCATTAAGGTCTACTCTACTTTGAGGAGGCAGCTCAGTCGTATTTTAAGTGCCTTCCAACCTGAGGGGCTCATCTTCCAGCACTGTATCGGACAGTGTTCCGCTGCTATTCATAAGGTTTTCACAGGCCAGTTTTTTCTGAGGTAGACAGCCAGATCCTTTTTCCTAGTTTGTCTTAGTCTGGAAGCTCCTCTGAAACCTGTCCACCATGGGTGACCCTGCCAGCATGTGAAATACTGGTAGCATAGCTTCCAGCATCACAGTAATGCGCAAGCCACCACAGTACAACAAACTGACAGACGTGTGGTGGATCGTATTGCAGACACTGCTTGAAACAAACAGCAATACTAACCAAAAATTGCACACAGGCCTGTCCTGTAGCCACATCAGAATATACAAATTTTCATTTATCTTTGTTACTTTTTTATTCTCGTGTATATGTATGTTCAGTTTTAACATACAGTCAAACCTGCTAAAGCTGAAACCTGTGTAAGGTGAAAACCTGTCAGAAGAAGGAAAACACAAATATTTTCCAGTAATAGAGAGGGAAGATGGCTCCCTGTCAAAGGCAGAAATCTTTTGAGACCCAGAAAAACAAGGTAGTCCTGTTGAGTTGCGGCTCTCACAGGTTTTGCTGTAATACCAGATAGAATGATATTCTGTGCATTTAATTAGTATTACGCACTGCTTATTTTTTCTGTTTTACTTCAGCCTTAGGTTTTTTTCCCTTTTCTTCCCCCACTCTCCCACTATAACTAATGTTAACAGCCTGGAGTATCGTTTTGCATCCCTTTCTGCACAGTCATGTCATTAGAAACATAGAGGGTGTTTTTATTTTTAATGTACGAGGTACCACTTGTATCGGAATAGATTTATGCTCTATTTGGTTATGAGTTTACTTCCTAGGGCAGTGAAAGCACTCAGTCATTGTATGGCTCTCTGCTTCATTTTTGCACTGTGATGGTATGTGTAGCCCAGGATTCAGTCCAGGGAATGGTAAACTCCGGCCGAGGGCCCAGTTTGGCCTGTTGCCTGTTCCTGTCACTAAAGTTGTCTGGGCAGTCATTGACTTGGTGTCTGTGACTGCTTTCGCCGTGTGAGGGCAGAGTTGAGTAGTTGTGAGAGAGACTGTGGCCTGCAAAGTAGAAAGTATTTACTACCTGGCCCTTTACAGAAAACGTTTGCCAACCTCTGACTTAGTCATTTTCTTATTAGAAGGCACAGATAGCAGATGTGGGTGGGATTGCTGTTTCAAAAATGATACGTATGTTTTATATTATAATAGCACCACTAGGTTTCTTTCCCTAAAGCCTGTGGCAAATCACATTCTCTCAATTTTAACGTTTTTATATAGGACGATGTCTGATTCTTTTTCCTTTTACAGCTTCTGGGTTTTTTTCTCTCTCGCTCTTTTCTAGATTAGTTTGTTTTTTTTTTAATGTAAGTCATTAATTATGAGTTTATTGGCAACTTTCATATGTGTGAAATAGGAGTCCAGTTTGTTTTTATTGATAAAGGTAGCCAACGACGTAAACACTGTTTCTTGAAAACCACATGATTATTTCCCATGGAATTAAAATATCTTCATTGTTGTATTAAATTCACACGACTCTCCTTGATGTACTTTCATGTGTTGAATACTGTTTTGATTGAACTGGCTTCCCGGTAACTTTTAATACCTAGTAAGGAAAGGCCCCCTCACTCTTTTTTATGATTTCTCCTTGGCTGTCTTTGGACCTTTATTCTTCCTTATGATCTGTAAAATAATTCTGCCCTTTCATCTTCCTAAGCCTCATTGCGATTCTAATTGAACTTATACAAAATGTATGTGTTGATTTTGGGGGGAGGATTGTGCTTACGATATGCCTTCCCGTCTAAGCCGCGGGTTGCCTTTCCATTATGTTCAGGGCGTGTTTTACGTCCTTCAGTTGGTCTTTTAGGTTTTCCCCCTTAGTTAGGTACTCTGTCTGTCTTACTACATTTATTTGTAAGCACTTTTCCTTCTTAGTTATAATAATGGAGTTTTGCTAATGGTTCAGCTCTCTTACCTGCCTCTGTAACATGTGCTCTTGAGATGGCTGCCAGGGTCAGGGTTATTCTTTTCTGACTCTAGAATGAAACCTGTAACCTTGACCTTATTAGCATCATTATGCTCTACCTGAGGAACGCATTTCACTTTCATTGGAAGGTCAAATGATATTCCTAGAAGCACAGTTCACTTTTTCAAAATATTGTCACTTTTTCAGAATATTCAATAAATATTCAGGTATCTGATCTGGCTGCAGTGAGAGTGTTCGCTGCCCCAGATACTGCCTAGATATAACTTAGGGCTTATAACTCTTTCCTTCAGAAGCATCAGAGGGGGCCATGAGAATTTTATCAGAGCTTGTTTTATAGGCAGCTGTTTGTTGCAGTCAGAGGACTCTTCCTAAGGTACTGTCGTATGCACGTGACCTACCTGGAATAGAATCAGAAAGGGCGATTATTAGAGTGGAAGCAAGTATCAGGAGTTCATCGAGGCAGCTAGCCCTCTGCTCTCCCTGGTTGGGGTCTTTCTACCTTCAGCAGCACGTCCTGCACAGATTCCTCATTGGCATTGAACACGTTCATTTGTGTGAAGCATGGTAAATGAAAACAACAAGTATACTCTGCGCTTTAGTTACAGGTCTCTTTTCCTATCTGAATTTTTTCATTAGCATCTACAAATCCATTTCATGCTTTATGTGTGTAGGAGTAATTTAAATAGTGTTTTAAGTTTAAAACTGTGCCTTACAAAAGATGTGTAACTTCATGGTGACGTTTTGGAGTGTACATGACTATTACGGTTTTGTCTTTATCATCTCTTCTTTTTATTCCCCCTAGTGTGGACCTTTGTAAAGAGATGGTTGATGGATTAAGAATAACCTTTGATTACACTCTCCCATTGGTTCTGCTCTATCCATATGAACAAGCTCAGTATAAAAAGGTGACTTCATCCAAATTTTTCCTTCCGATTAAGGAAAGTACCACAAGCACCAACAGGTAAGTTAGATAGCCTGCAGTTTGCCCTTCAGACTCTGGCAGTCAAATAGTTAAATCACGATTTGAAGATGTCAGCCTGGTACTGTGGGGCCAGCATGGCCGGAACAGGGCAAACGAGCGAAAAGTGCCGATACCAGGGGTTTTCCTTCTTCCTTGGTCAGCGAAGGCATTGTTCACTTATAAATGACTTTCAGAGATTTTACTCAGTGAAGATGCCAGTGTGGAGAATTTAGCTGTCCCCATCTTTCTGAAGACAGTGAGGTAGAGTGCAGGAGGGCCGAAGATGTGGGTTTGAATTTTGCTCCCTCACGTATTGATGGTGTGACTTGGAGAAGTTCCTTCTGAGCTTCTTGCTTCCATCTGTGCACAGTGGAATGAATACCTGCCTCCCTGGGCAGTTATTATTAAATGAGACTTTTCATAAAGGGCTAGCCACAGTTGGCCTTCAATAAAAGTTACTTTCCTTACACCTCTGCTGTGACCCACTTTTTTCCCTCAGTGAACAAGCATGCTTAAATCACTGGTCTCTGAAAAAAACAAAATCCCCCAACCTAAGTCTTTATCCTTAATCTTCTAGAAGCTACCACCCTATCTTCCTCCTTCCTGTCTCTCCATGAGAACAGCTTGTTCTCATTATCTTCATTTCTCCATCTCCTCTCTTCTTACCATCTAGCTTCATTCTGCCCTGACCCCTTGATCAAACTCTTCTCTCCAAGGGCACAAATAACTTCCTTCTTGTCATACACCATTCACCTTTTCCCCTCCCTTCCCACTCTCTCCCTTTAAGGCCTTGTCTCTCCTGGTTCTCTGCGCTTTGCTACCATCTCTTTGCCACCTGCCTTCGTTGCCTTCTGTCTCCTGTTTCTTCCCACACGTTGGTTTCACCCCAGGTTACAGGTCTGTGAGAATCACTGGGGACGTTTGTTGTCCACATGTCCTACTCCAAACCTCGAGATTGGGAACGTCCAGGTTGGGCTCTGTGTTTCAGCAGCTCCCGACACTTGTGGATTTTTCTAGTTCTACTGGTTGTTACGTTTTGATGAAATATGTTATTCTCTAGACCAGGGTTTCTCAACCTCGACCCCATTGACATTTTTGGGCTGGAGAGTACTTTGTTGTGGGGGCTGTCCTGTGCATCGTGGGATGTTTAGCAGCATCCCTGGCCTCTACCCACTAGATGCCAGGAGCACCCCCCCACCCCCAGTTGTGACAACCAAAAATGCCTCTCTGCATTGCCAAATGTCCCTGACCAATTAACCACTGCTCTAAAACAAATACAGAAGGGGAATCACAGTCTTTAATGCCAGCATACCTCTCTGAGATATTGAGAACATTAAAAATGATTTAATAGATTTATTTACTCTTTTTGAGAAAGTATTTGTTTTGGCACATGTTTGAAATGAAGATGTATAATTCTCTTGGAGGTAAGAGTTTGTTTACTGTTCTGTCTTATGAGGGACATTTATGAACACATCCATGTTTTAGAAAAATTCTGTGGGATGCAGTCGTATAGTCGTATGTGAAAGCTCTCCCCTCTTCCGTAGGAGCCAGGAGGAGCTCTCTCCAAGCCCGCCTCTGTTGAACCCCTCCACTCCGCAGTCCACCGAGAGCCAGCCTACCACAGGGGACGCGGCCACACCCAAGAGGCGCAAAGCCGAGCCAGAAGCCTTGCAGTCTCTGAGGCGCTCCACGAGACACAGCTCCAACTGTGACAGGCTATCTGAGAGCAGTGCGTCGCCTCAGCCGAAGCGTCGGCCGCAGGACACGTCCGCCACCATGCCCAAGCTGTTCCTGCACCTGGAAAAGAGTGAGTTCACTACCAGGTGGGGTAGACCCTGCCCAGAAGACTGACATTCATTCTGTGCTCAGTCGGTGCCAGGCTCTGCACCAAGTTCACGTGCATGCGTGCTCAACGCGGTGATTCTCATAACGTGTCCAGAGTGCTGTTATGCCCCCATTGTCCAGAAGAGGAAACTGAGCCAGAGCAAGATGGAGGGACTTGGAAAGATGACACAGTGGAGAAGTGGTGGAACCAGGCTTGGACCCTGTGTCCTGAGCTTTTGTTTTTAACCACCACTCTCTACCCCTTCTTTTGAGCAAATTGAATTATTAGAATCCTTTATTTTCTATAGTCCTTGAGCCCTGGTGGCACAGTGGTTAAGAGCTCGGCTGCTAACCAAAATGTTGGCAGTTCGAATCCATCGGCCGCTCTTTGGAGACCCTATATGGCAATTTTTTTTTGTACATAATTCAAAATGAGCCACTCTTGTGGTTTGTTTTGTTTTTGTTTTGTGGTGCTCTGCCTCAGTTGTCTCTCCGGTCTAAATTTTAATTTTGAGAGCTCCATTCTGAAATAACAGTGAGAGTGATCAGATTTACATCCCTTTTTCTTGCCTTATCTCAGCCCCAACCAGAGCTCCATCAGATCTGCTCACCTTGATTTTGAGCTGGAATAGAAATAGAATCATTTATGGAAGAGTACTGTTTTTTGCAAAATACATGTAAAATTGGTTTGCTGTAGTTCCGAACTTAAAAATAAGCCAGTGATAGTCACTTTCAAGCTTCTTAAAAAGCTCATAATGGAGTAGACTATTTCCTGATTTCCAGATATCATTCTTTAATTTTATGTTAGTGTAAATGAGAAATTAACCGTGATAACTGTTAATGTGGATGTGCTTAGTATTACAGTTTTCTTAGATAAAATATAAGACGTTATCTGGTCTCCCTAGTAGCTTTTATAAGTTAGTTGAGGATGTAAAACTATACCAGAATAAAATGGTTAGATGTCAGTGTGATTGTTCTACATATATAACTCTTTAGAAATTCAGAATAAAAATATACAGTTCAACATATAGACTGATGGGCTAGAACAGGAGTTGGCAAAGTTTTTCTGTAAAGGACCCCCGCCCTTGCTGTCGAGTCAGTTCTGACTCAGCGATCCTAGAGGACAGAGTAGAACTGCCTCATCGGGTTTCCAAGGCTGTAATCTTCACGGAAGCAGACTGCCACAACTTTCTCCCACGATGCGGCTGGTGGATTCAAACCGCTGACCTTTCAGTTCGCAGTCGAGTGCTTAACCACTGTGCCACCAGGGTTCCTTCTGTAAAGGACCAGATGGCAAATATTTTTGGGTTTGCAGGTCGTCCAGTCTGTGTGGGGTCTGTGTGGCAGCTACTCAACTCTGCAGCTGTAACACGAAAGCAGCCATCGACAGTGTGTAAGCCAACGACCATGCTTGTGTTCCTTCTTTACAGAAACCAGACTGTGGACCAGATTTGGCCCATAGTCCCTCATTGGCGGGCCCCTGGGCTAGGGCACACTTCACGGTGGAAGGGATTTGGGACTGGGTGTTGGGAGAAGTTCAGGATTTGGATTAGAAGCAGAGGCATTCTGGAAAGCAGGGCTTGAAAGACGGGCTTAGACGAGAAGGGCCTGGGTTTGGGAATGCTGGGAAGTAGAGTCAGGGAAGACGGGGTTGGCTAGCCACTGAGGAGGTTACATTTAATGCACAGGCAGGAGACAGTCGCTCAGCTGTTAAACGGGAGTAACGGGAGGAAAGCAGTGTTTCTGGAAGACTGACCCCCAGACTAGCTGGGAGAAGTCCTTCAGCCCGGTCCCTTGTCATTTCCTAAGTGCTTTCACTCTGGTCTCGTTTGCATTTCCTCATCAGCACGAGGAAGCCATGGGGCCGTGTGCTGTGCCCAGGGCAGGCCAGACTGGAGCTCGGAGTGACTGACGAGCTGTCATCGGGGTCTGTATTGGAGTGTTTACCCACCACCAAGAGCTGTACGTGCCTCGGGACCTTGTGTGACCCGCACAGCAGTTCTCTGTGGCAGAGGGGTGGTGCCCCCACTTCCCATGCACTTAAGTAACTCACCCAGGGTCCCGCGTCAGTTGGGGAGTCGGGATGGAACCCGAGCTGTCAGCCTGCAAAGTCTATCCCGCATGCTTCCAGAGACTTACCATCCCTGATGCTAAATGTAGGCCTAATTTCCCTAAGGAGAGTGAGAGCCTTCATTTTTTCTGGGACTTTCCCCAGAGTCCCTGTGGGCTGGCTCAGCTGCCCATCCTGTGCAGTACTGAGCTGTGTTCAGGCCAGAACAGTCCTTGCTGGCTGGGAAATGGGGAGGGAACCAGTGCGCCGGCTGAGAGCGAAGGGACAGGGTTTTAACCGGAGGAGTCAGGCCTTGCCAGATGCTCATTGCAAGGGCCGAATAAAGTGTCTAGGACGTTCTGGATGGGGACCTGTCCCCTGCTCCTAGAGAGAGGAGGAATGTTGTGCCTTCGCCTGAAGTGTAGCCGTATAGACTGTAGATGCCGAGCCTGCTTTTGGCAAGTTCCTCCAAGCCTAGCTGGCATTTCTTGGAAAGCAAAACCCCATAGTGCCTGGGCGTGGCGTGTGGCAAAGAATCTCACAGGGCTAATTCATTCCTAGAAAGCGCCTCGTGGATGGATGGTCATAAGTCAAGAAAGTAATTAGTTAATTTCAACAAAAGAAATTTAATATATTCCAGAGCCTTAAAATTACAACCCGTTTATGCTAAAACAATAAATCATTAAACTGGATACACTTACTCTGGGAGCTCACATTAGCTCTCCAAGCACACACTAAGCAGGCATTTCCCCATGTTAATTAAAATATGGCTGTTCAGCCTACACAGTAAGCAAGCCCTTTCCCTAAAGTGCTCTTCCGAAACTAATGAAATATGGCTGTTGAGCCCATACCTTTTAAGCCCTGTTGTTACTGTTATTCACTGCTGTTCAGGACCAAACCAAAAGTCAAACCTGCTGCCTTCGAGTTGATTCTGACTCAGAGCGACCCTGTAAGACAGAGTAGAACTGCCCCATAGGGTTTTCAGGACTGTAAAACGTTTACAGAAGCAGATTGCCACATCTTTCTCCCGCCATTCAGGACCACATTCACGAATAAAATATGTGGCGCTCAGGGTTTATAGAATGCTACCCTTTAAGGCCAAAAGCAAGTAAAACTCTTAAGGCTGGTGCCAGCCATGCCGATGCTGTCGCCCAGATGCTGTCCACTTGGAAAGCAGTAGGTGATGGAGCGGATGGCGTGACTGTAAACATGCTAACTACATGGACTCTGCTAGAGGTCTCCGTAGTCAGAGGTAGACCGGCAGGCGCCAGGAATCCAACTGCAGAGATGAGCGTATGTGGCTCATCTCAGAGGAGCCCTGGTGGCACAGTGGTTAAAGCGCTTGGCTGCTAACGGAAAGGTCAGAGGTTCGAACCTACCAGCTGCTCTGCAGGAGAAAGATGTGGCAGTCTGCTTCCATAAAGATTACAGCCTTGGAAACCCTATGGGGCAGTTCTACTCTGTCCTACCTGGTCACTATGAGTTGGAATAGACTGGAAGGAAATGGGTTTGGTATTTTGGGTTTGACTCATCTTACAGGACTTGGAGGCTCACAGATGAAATCCTAAACTGTTCCTCTTTAAGTATGGAAAAAGCCTCCTAAGGGGAATACTCCCCAGAGGCAATTGTTAGGGCCTCAGTGGGTTGAGTCTAGGGTGGGACTGTATGCTCCCCTGCTTCTTCCTCCTCCCTTGCATACCTGGTTACTCCTTCCAGGACTCCCCCGAAAGGTCTCCCTAGCCAAGCTCTCCTGATGGTGGCATTGGTATTGAGTCGCCCATTGTGTGAACTCCCTCCCCTTGACTTACTGGTTATTTCATCTCCATCACCAGCTCAGAGGTTGGCACATAGTTACAGGTACTTAATATGTTTTTGTTAATTGAATGAAGACTGAGAAGGTCTAGCAGGGAACAGTTAAAAGAAGATGTACCAAAAGAAACCAAGATATATCTTTAAAAAATCCTTTTGAGTGATCGAGTACTAAAAAAAAATGAGGTGCTTATTTTTTTTAAGTATTGTTTTGATAAAATCTACAGGCCATACAATTAACCCAATTAAAGTGTACAATTCAGTGGGTTTTTTTATATTCAGAGAGTTGTGCAGTCATCACCCTAATCAGTTCTAGAACATTTTCATTACTCCACCCCCAAAAAGAAACCCCATAACCATTAGCAGTCACTCCCCCTTCTTCCCTCCTGCCAGCCCTGTTGTTGTTAGGTGCCGTGAAGTTGGTTCCAACTCATTGTGACCCTGTGTACAACAAAACGAAACACAGCCTGGTCCTGCACCATCCTTACAGTCATTGCTATGTTTTAGCCCATTGCTGCAGCCACTGTGTCATTCTGTCTTGTCGAGGGTCTTCCTCTCTTTTGCTGACCATCTGCTTTACCAAGCATGATGTCCTTTTCCAGGGACTAGTCCCTCCTGATAACATGTCCAAAGTACATGAGATGAAGTCTCGCCATCCTCACTTCTGAGGAGCGTTCTGGCTGTACTTCTTCCAAGGCAGACTTGTTTGTTCTTCTGGCAGTCCATGGTATATTTAGTATTCTTCGCCAACACCATAATCCAAAGACATCAATTCTTTGATCTCCCTTATTCATTGTCCAGATTTTGTGTGCATATGTGGTGATTTGAAAATACCATGGCTTGGGTCAGGCACACCTTAGTCCTCAAAGTGACATCTTTGCTTTTTAACACTTTAAAGAGTCTTTTGTAGAAGATTTGCCCAGTGCAATGCGTTGTGTGATTTCTTGACTGCTGCTTTCATGGGCGTTGATTGTGGATCCAAGTAAAATGAAATTCTTGGCAACGTCAGCGTGTTCTCCGTCTATCATGATGTTGCTTACTGGTCCAGTTGTGAGGATTGTTGTTTTCTTTAAGTTGAGGTGTAATCCATACTGAAGGCTGTGGCCTTGGATCTTCATCAGTAAGTGCTTCAAGTCCTCTTCATTTTCAGCAAGGAAGGTTGTGTCATCTTCATAACACAGGTTGTTAATGAGTCTTCCTCCAATCCTGATGCCCCGTTCTTCTTCATATAGTCCAGCTTCTTGGATTATTTGCTCAGCATACAGATTGAATAGATATGGTGAAAGGATACAACCCTGACGCACACCTTTCCTGACTTTAAACCACGTAGTATCCCCTTGTTCTGTTCGAATGACAGCCTTTTGATCCATGTACAAGTAGGTTCGGCACGAGCACAATTAAGTGTTCTGGAATTTCCATTCTTTGCAATGTTATCCATAATATGTTATAATCCACACAGTCGGATGCCTTTTCACAGTCAATAAAAACACAGGTAAACATCTTTTTGGTATTCTCTGCTGTCAGCCAAGATCCACCTGACATAAGCAATGATATCCCTCTTTCCATGTCCTCTTCTGAATCTGACTTGAATTTCTGGCAGTTCCCTGTCAGTGTACTGCCACAACCGTTTTTGAATTATCTTCAGCAAAATTTTACTTATGCGTGATTTCCGCACTCTGTTGGATCACCTTTCTTTAGAATGGGCATAAATATGGATGTCTTCCAGTCGGTTGGCCAGGTAGCTGTCTTCCAAATTTCTTGGCATAGACAAGCGAGCACTTCCAGCATTGCATCCGTTTGTTGAAACATCTCAATTGGTATTCTGTCAATTCCTGGAGCCTTGTTTTTCACCAGTGCCTTCAGTGCAGCTTGGACTTCTTCCTTCGATACCATTGGTTCCTGATCATATGCTACCTCCTGAAGTGGTTGAACGTTGACCAATTCTTTTGGATACAATTACTCTGTGTATTCCTTCCATCTGCTTTTGATGCTTCCTGTGTCATTCAGTATTTTTCTCATAGAATCCTTCAGTATTGCGATTCAAGGTTTGAATTTTTTGTTCTTTCAGCTTGAGAAATAGTGAGTGTGTTCTTCCTTTTGGTTTTCTAACGCCAGGTCTTTGCACGTTTCATTGTAATACTTCTCAAGCTGCTCTTTGGAATCTTCTGTTCACGTCTTCTATTTTATCATTTTTTCTATTCGTTTTGGCTGCTCTCCATTAAAGAGCAAGTTTTAGAGTCTCGTCTGACATCCATTTTGGCCTTTTCTTTCTTTCCTGTCTTTTTAATGACCTTTTGCTTTTGTCATGTATAATATCCTTGACGTCATCCCACAACCCGTCGGGTCTTCAGTCATTAGTGTTCCATGTGTCAAATCTGTTCTTGAGATGGTCTCTAAATTCAAGTGGCATATACTCAAGGTCGTATTTTGGCTCTTGTGGACTTGTTTTCATTTTCTTCAGCTTCAACTTGAACTTGCATATGAGCAATTGATGGTCTGTTCCACAGTCGGCCCTTGGCCTTGTTCTGACTGATGATACTGAGCTTTTCCACAGATGTAGTTGGTTTGATTCCTGTGTATTCCATCTGGTGAGGTCCATGTGTAAAGTCGCCGTTTGTGTAACTAGGCAACTACAAATCTACTTTCTGCTGTGTGGATTTATCTATTCTGAACATTTGCTGTGAATGGAATCATAATAGGTAGCCTTTGGTATCTGGCTTCTTTCACTCAGCATGTTTTCATTGTTCATCCATGTGGTAGCATGCATGTATCAGGACCTCATTTCTTTGTTTCTTTTTGTCAAATAATACGCCAGGTTCTGTCTTTTATAATAAGAATGTCTTATTGTTAAAAAATTAATTTCTGAGAACTGATTTTAGATTTATGCTCTGCGGCCTATAGTGGTTTGACGGCAGTAGCTGTGTGATTCACAGGTGAATAAGTGTGTCTTTTTTTTTTTTTTTCAGAAACGCCTGTGCATAGCGGATCATCTTCCCCTATTCCTCTGACTCCTAGCAAGGAAGCGAGTGCTGCATTTGCTGGCTTTGAAGGGAGACGAAATAACGAAATAAACGAGGTAACGAGTTCGGGTCTGACCTTCATCCCCGATGGATCCCTCACCGTTTTGCAGTGAAATCCTGTGGGAGGAAATCAAGGTTTCTTGAAGCATCATGTTGCTATTGCCATGATTATGTTTAACGTTGTATGTTTAGTTCCTAACATGTGAAAATTGTTAGGATTTCAGCCTATACTTTAAATCATCTCTTATTTTAAATAAACACAACTGTCAAAATATCATTGCTTTCATTTTTTTAGATAGATATCGACAAACCCTTTCTACAAAGGGTTGGAGTGTAATGCGGTCTCTGCGAAGGCTACTTAACTCCCAGAACAGCCACAGATAATATATAAATGAACGGGCATGCTAGGTTCCAATAAAACTTTACTTATGGACTTGAGTTTGAATGTCATATAGTTCTCATGTGTTAGGAAATGTTTTTCTTTTGATTTTTTTTTCAATCTCTTAAAAAATGTAAAAACCATTTATAGCACATAAGCTGGATTTGGCCCCTACACAGACTGTAGTGGGCTGGCCCCTGATAGAGAAGCTAGAAAGCCCAGTCGGTGTTACAGTGGCAGTAGAGGGAAGGCTTGGAAATTCCTTGTAAGAGCAGTCCCTGACAGTCCCATTTTTCAGGCAGGAAGGCACTATTGCAGGGTTTATTATTTAAAGGGAATTGTGACATCTGAACGTTCAGGTAACTGTGATTCTCAATATGGTCAGCGTTGAGAGGGCGCCATCTCGTGGTTAAAGGTATAGCTGCAATCTATAGTAAAAAAGATGATCTCTGTAAACAGCTGGAGTTCAGCAAGCTCTTCAGAGTGATTCATGAGACCTTGATGAATCCCCACATTGTCAAGGGCCTCAGTAGCCGTGTTTTCTAACCAGGGCTCAGCATCCAAGTCGCCGGTGTCTCTTTCTCCATATACGTACCCCATTGTATGTGGCCAGGGTCTGGACGTGTCTGTTTTCTAGTTAAGATCCACAGAGGATTCCCACGCACACCCAGGTGGGAATCCCCCTGCACTAGAAGCTGTAGTTTGTCCCTGTAAAATGTGTATTCGGTAAAGAGGACATTAGACACATGCGTTGAAATGCAGAATTGAGCGAGGGAGGGGGCCTCGCTTGCTAACTAGCTGAATGACCTTTCCGCACGTGGGAGCGGTTCGTGCATTCAGTGATGGCCAGTTCCTGCGTGTTCACTCGGAGTGCCGCTGTCCGTGGTTCCGAGCTTCAGCTGTGTGCACTGGCTAGCTGCTGTGTGTGGTGTACAGATGCTGGAACTGTTTCCCTGCCCTCAGAGCTCTGACAGCACAGAAGGACGGGGATGGGGCAGTTCACGTGAGAGGCGCGAGGAAAGGGCTGAAGCTGGGGCCTTTAGCGTAGAGGCAGGTGGAAGCACTGTGGCAGCTGTGTTCACTTCTACAATCTTATTTTGTAAATTTATTACAAGAGTATAGCTGGGTTTTTGTTTTTATTATTTTGCGTGTTCCTGGTTTGTCTTATAGAGGGTTTCCTTCGGCCCTACTATTTCCATGTTAAACTTGACAAGTCCCCCAAAGCCAAAGCTACAACTCCAGTAGAACAGACTACGGGCGTCCAGTTTGCTGAAGTATGTCTCCGGAAGGTCATGAGAGAGTTTTAAAATACAGCTCCCGTTTAACAAAACCCAGAGTCAACTCGTAGTCCTGAAATTCACAGTGAAGGACAAAACAATACCACTTACCAGGTTTGAAGTCCACTTTATTTGATTCAGCAATTAAAAGAGTCAAATTCGTTTCCATAGTGAATCTAGCAGCAGGAAATTAGCGAATCTTGAAACTGGTAATACAGTGAAACCTGTGAGAGCTGAATTCGACAGGGCTGCCTTGTTTTTCTAGGTTTCTAGGTTGAAGTTTTCCACCTTTGACAGGATGCAGTCTTACCACTTTTCTATTGCTTGTTTTAGTGGAAAATATTTGAGTTTTCCTTTTCTGACAGATTTCCACCTTACACAGGTTCCAGCTTTCACAGGTTGTACTGTATTACTAAAACCATCTTTGGGTTATTTTTTTTTTAAATATTTTATTGTGTTATAGGTGAAAGTGTACACAGCAAATTAGATTCCCATTCGACAGTTCATACACAGATTGTTGCATGACACGGGTTTGGGTTACTTTTGAATGCTTCATTCTTCTAACATGGCAGGATTTTCCAAAAGAAAGGGTACTAAATGACCCAAACAGTTACTTAGAGGTAATAGCTGTTCAGAATTAGGAAATCAAGGATTTCCTTAATCTAATTTTATGTTCTCCCCAGACGTTTATTGTTTCTGTAAGCTTGTGTTTTGATAGTGTGCCATAGTTTGCCCCTTGTCCATGCGTGTATTGCCATCATCTGTAGCTAGTTAGCCGCGTCACCGTATTGCAGATGCAGCAAGGCGAATCCTCCTGTACTTGATTTAAAAGGCAAGAAAAGTTTTGGAAAATCTTACAGTGGAAAACTAGGGTATATATGGAAGTATATAAACTACCTGGAAAACAAATATATAATTTTGCCACTAAGAAATGAGCACTTAACTTTTTTGCATATGATTTTTGGTACTTTTTTCTGTGCTGCGTTTATATAGCGTACACATTACTGAGTGTCGGTGGCGCTTACCTGTTTGTAGCTTGATCCTCTCTCCGTAGATTACGCACACAGAAAGTCGGGTCACTTCCTAACTCCCGTCTTGTTTGTTACCAGTTTCCGCCATCTCCTGGTCCAGCTGCGAAGCCCTCCCGAGGTGCCGGGCTGGGAGCTGGGGGGTGGGAACATGGCCCTGCCGTCTGTCCAGCAGCCCGAGAAGGTCAAAGCACCTGGATCTTGGCAGAGTCTCAAGTCTGAGGTGTGTAGGGAGTGGCGTGTTACGAATGTACTAATGAAAACATTTCAATTCCTGCTTTTCCCAGGTCCTCTCCTGGAAACTCGTCCCCGACAACTTCCCCCCAGGTGACCAGCCGCCTCCGCCCTCTTATATTTACGGGTCACAGCATCTGCTGCGGTTGTTCGGTAAGAAGTCCTGGCGCCTCTTCTGCCATCACAGTTGGTTTTGTTTTGCTCTTAACGTTCTTGTTAGCTTGTGTACGTTTGGGGAGTTCAGCTGTAAGTATCTTAACTAATGGGAACATTTGCGGGTCTAAGACAGGTCATTGAAAGGTGACCTCTTCCAAGAACAGGCACTGAAGGAATCAAATTTCAGACAAATTGGGTTTTCAGGATTTGTACCACTACTCTAAGGAGCCATGGTGGCGCAGTGGTTAAAGCGCTCAGCTGCCAACCGCAAGGTGGGTGTTCGAACCCACCAGCCGCTCCACAGGAGAAAGATGTGGCAGTCTGCATCCGTAAATTACAGCCTTGGAAACCCTAGGGGGCAGTTCTGCTCTGTCCTGCAGGGTCCCGATGAGTCGGAATCGCCTCCAGAGCAGTGGACACTCCTCTGTCTTTGCCTGCCGAGTGTTCTGGTTTGATAATGTGGGTGTTAGTTTCCTTTCCAGTAAGGCTAAGAAAAGAAACAGACGATCCCTGACTTGGGTGCTACGCGTTGTTAGAATCTGTAAAACGATGCGGTTGTTTCGCTTTTTTTTTTTTTATTTTATTGTACTTCAGGTGAAGGCTTACAGAACAAATAGTTTCTCATGAAACAGTAGTACACATGTTGTTTTGCTTTTTTTTAATGCAGTAAAACTTCCAGAAATCCTGGGAAAGATGTCTTTTTCTGAGAAGAATTTGAAGGCTTTACTGAAGCACTTTGATCTCTTTCTGAGGTAATTTTGTGACTTTCTCAGAAACGACCACTGCCGCCTTACACCTGACTTTTATAACCGTAAACACTGGACTCTTGCTTGTTGTCTGTACGGGAGCATTTACAGGTTGGAGTTTGGTGTTTACTTCAGTGTGAAGATAAATAACCACGAGTCTGTGTTGATATTTTGTTGATTCACAGAAAAGTATTGTTTACTTCACATGACAAAGCCAGTCATCTTATTATATAATAGAATCAGCTGACAATTCATAGATGGCTTTTAATTCAGCCATTAAACATTCTGTCAGTTTTAAATACTCAGCAAGTTCTTGAAATAAAAGTGAAGTAATTGATAAATTGGAGGATTCCTGTTTTCAGCATGCTTTTGTTAATTGCAGTGGTGCGATGGTTAAGCCCTCAGCTGTTAACCGAAAGGTTGGTCGTTCGAACCTCCCTAGCCACTTCGTGGGAGAAAAGACCTGACGATCTGCCTCTGTAAAGATTACAGCCTAAAAAACCCTATGGGTCAGTTCTACTCTGTCACATGGGGTTGCTGTGAGTTGGAACTGACTTGACACAACAACAACAACAACAATTTTCTTCACACACGTTTTTGCAATATTTTTGCCCCTAGAGATTTTACTGTTTCTCATGACAAAAGCATTCTAGCTCTTACCCACATGAGGGGAGGGGATGGAAGAAAGAGCTGTCTTTGTTTCTCTGGCTTTCTATCCTTGATTGTTCAGTTCCACCGTGAGGCGTTCACACAGTTTGACAGCCTTCGGGTTCTGACATAAACCCTCCGGGTGGAATGTAGACCAGAGCAGTTTGTAGTGTGTTGTTGCTACTGGTGAGTTTAAGATCAGTGCAACTGTTTTCAGTCTATGGAAATCACACATAACTTGGTTTTAACTTTTCATGTATGGTTTCAAAGGTGAAATAACATTCTTCTAGGTATTTCTGGGTAGCCACTTTGTGGTGTAGTCTCAATTTTTGTTGAGGCAGTGTGGACTAGTTTCTGCTTTGAGCCTTGATTTCCTTCATTCTCTTTTACTGCGCACGAGTAGAGACCGATAGGTGTATCTTAGATGGCCGCTCGTGGACATAAAATTTTGTAAACTGTAGTCCAGTGGTGCTGAGAGAAGACGAAGGGACAGCTCCAAGTTAGAATGAAAACCTGCTCATTCTGTAAAATCAGTTGAAATCTTAGCCAAGATGTCATCTGTGCATTGCAGTCTTGAATGCCCAACCAGCTTTTGACGTCCCTCTTTTTATGTCAGTTTTCTTTTATGTGGTGGGACTAGAATATCTTTCATGTGGTTTAGTACTGTGAGTGGGGACTAGAACATCTTCTAGCTGGGCAAACTAGGATACAAAATAGTACTACTAGTTCTTCCGTTCTTTTTTGGTTTAACTTAGCCTGCATAAGCCTTGTGGGTCTCTCAAGTGCCATTTATTGAATTTATAATTTGTTATTTTTTATATTTTGTTTTAATAATAGGAAACTAGAAATATTCACTGAGCCATTTGTTTTCTTCACAGAAGTGTTTATCTAATCAAGACTGTTAACTAACGCAGTTTAGGCTCTGTTTATATTTGGATAGAATATTAATGTAGAAGCTGGATATGTGCAATGAAAGCAATCAGTATATAGAACTCAAGATTATAGTCACTTCTTTTCTTCCTAAGACTAAAAAAGAGTTGCAGCGTTAGAGTGGTTGGAAATTACTGTATTGCTTTGTGGTATTTAGTCCTTGGTTTGATGATTGTCGGATCCATTTTCTCTTTCAGGTTTTTAGCAGAATACCATGATGACTTCTTCCCGGAGTCGGCTTATGTCGCCGCCTGTGAGGCGCACTACAGCACTAAGAACCCCCGGGCCATGTATTAAAGGTTTCCAGGGCCCGGCAGAACAGGTGAAGAAGGAGACAGCACCACCCGCCTTGGGCCTGTGGCAGAGACGGGCTCTGTGATTTGAGTTGCCCACATACTGTAGTTGTTTCTGTTAAGAATGACTGCCTCGGTGCCGGACTGACCTCTGACATCGGATGCTTGCAACTGCGTGTGTCACCTGTGACAGCGGACAGAGCAATTGTGTCAGCGGAGCAGCGTCACAAAGTCTGCGGCATCTAGGCTGGTTCAGGGAAAAGTTAGGCGCTGCAGCTATTTGTTAGCAGTAAACAGATTTTTTTAGTTATTTGTTCACATTAAACAAAATTGTTTTGCAAACTTTCATTTTGGTGATGAGACTGAACATCTCTGTCCAACAAACTTTAGTTTACACGTGGAAGCTGCCGGTAAGCCACAGAGTACCTTAGCCGGAATTGATCTCGATGCCTGTTACGGTTTCCTTTCTGTACCAGTGTTGGTGAGCTAAATAAAGGCTTTCCCATCTTGTTCGAGAGAAATATTGTACCCAGGAGACTTCGCAATGACCTTGTCTTTCTTTATTGTTTCTTTTTGTTTTACCTTTGTGCCTTTTTGTCAAGATCTTTGTTTTCTTTCCCTTCTTTGATTTCTGTCTCTCTCGGGGGCATTCCTAGGAGTTAGGGGGCCCACTGTGCCCTACTGGTTTGTAATCTTGTTGCCACACTGTGGGCTGGTCTGGGGCCAAGGCCACTTTATCCTCCTCCATCATCGTCAGCTGACTGTCTCTGAAGTGACCCTTCTAATCCTCATCATCCTCCCTCCTCTGCCACCTCCTTCCTTTGTGGAATGTTCCAACATTTCAAATTGAGAGTGGCTAATCTGGTGAGCCTGCAGTGTGCTTTGAATTGTTGAGAAAGTTTAGTCAGTAATTACTCATGGACTGGAAAAAAAATAGAAAAATGTCTTCCTTTTGAAGAATCTGCTTGTTCAGTGTCCCCAGTGAAAGGAGTATAGACTGTCTCTTTTGAACATTTATACTGTTATAGACCTTGGGGTTAAAATTAATTCATTTTCTAATAATAAAGTATTTTCTTCCCCCAAAGACATTTCTTAATCACAGCTTCCTTAAAATTTTAAATATGTGTACCTTAGGTTGATTTAAATGATGACCTTTCTTCAAAATATTATCCTTTTATTTTAAATAAAAAAAAAAAAAGAGCCAGGAGTGGAGCCTGTCCTTTAAACTCGGGTTCCCTGAACTGAGACCCTCCTAGACCCGGGAGGTAACCGTAACACCGCAAATGGCACAAGATGATGAGAAGCAACAGCAGACAAACGGTGGCAGCAGAACCAGAAGACGGGCACAAGAAGGCACGGTGGGCTTCCCGGCCCACGGACTGAGGCGGCTAATGCGGATGTGCTGACCCGGGGAACCAGAGAGCTGATGCCTTTGGGCAAGAGGCTTACTACTGGTGGGATGTGGTGCCTTCGTGTGCACTTATTTGTGGAGCTAAAGAGCTTTGTAACACTTGGCCTAAGCAGGGCAAAGGTGAGGTTGTGAGGCAGAGAGGCCCGCCTGTGGGCACAGCTGAGAACAAGCTATCCTGATTGAAGAACTGTATCCTGAGTCGTTCCTGATCCTGAATTGTAACCTGTTACTTCCCTAATAAACCCCATAATAGTGAAAAAAATTTTTTTTCTGAATAATTTCTCAGAAATTTTCATTTAAAAGTCTAAACACGCCTTATAAAAAATTAACTGATTTTTCTCCTTTTAGCTTGGCTCAAGCACAGCTGTTTGGGGTCCAGGTGACGGGTGACACAGAGAGTCACACTTCTCTGGCTCCATGAGGTCCGAAGCTCAGGAAAGTTGATATTCTCATGGTGGCACCGTCATTGCACTGCGAGCAGCAAGTCTCCTTCAGGGAGCTTCAGAGTCAGGCCCTCCACTGTTCTCCTCTTCATCCCCTCCAAGTAGTTTCTAAGGCAGTGGGAAGAATTTGGCGGCCTACGTGGGGACTATAGCTGGCCAACTGATTTCTGACGATTTCCAGAAAAAAATGGCCCATCTTAGGTTTGTTCTTGCTGGGGCAGGTGTGTTAGGGGGATGATCGTCTTTTTCATTTTCCCAAATTATGGCCCTTTCACGTCTTGGAGTCTGCATTTGCTTCCTATTGCTGCTTTAAGAAATTACCACAAACTTAGTGGCTTAGAACAACACAAATTTATTATTTTACCGTTCTGGAGGTCAGAAGTCCCACAGGAATACCACTGCGCTAAGATTGAGGCATTGGCAGGGCCGCATTCCTTCTGGAGGCTCCGGGGGGGGGGAGAGAGCAACCCTGGAGTGCCTTGAAGAGCTACGGTGTGGAGGTGGGGATTGGTCTACCACTGGCCTGGGCTTCCTTCCCTCTAGGGAGATATGCAAAGGAAGGGTTTGGAAGAGAACGGGCTGTGGCCTGAGGGGATAGCCCAGGTTTCTGAGGAAAGGAAAAGCAAAGCAAGGAGGGATCTGCTTCAGAAACAGGGTGGAAGGGTTGACAGGAGTGCAGCACTCTTGCTGGGTGAGACGTGTGTAAGCCTCCACTTGATCTCTGCAAGAGACTCTGCCCAGGTGTTGACCGTTCACTTGTCCTGGGGGCAACGGTTTTGTGCTTTGGAGCTTTTGTGTGGAATGGTCACCAGGCTAAAAGTGGCCTCCAGGTGGGTGGGGAAAGAGCAATGGCAGCCCGCAGAGTCCTGACAGGAGCTTCAGATATTCTTACCAAAAGGGATCCAGAAGAAGCCAGACACATACTGTACGATCCCGTTTATATGAACTGTCCAGGATAGGCAAATCCTAGAGACAGTAGATTAGTGGTTGCTGGGGTTGGGGGGAGGGGAGTGGGGAAAGACTGCTGATAGGTACAGGGTTTCTTTCGGGGATGGTGAAAATGTCTGGAATGATTAGTGGTGATGTTTGAATAACTGAATATATTAAAAACCACTCAGTTGTACACTTTAAACAGTGAGTTTTATGGTATGTGAATTAACATCCCCAAAAAGTGTGTGTCTGCTGGGGTGGGGAGGGCGGGGATTGGCTGTGTCTTAAACCTAAGAAAAATATACTGGGAAAACCCATTTTCAAGGCCAAGCTGCCTTTTCTCACTCCTCTAAGTTCACACTTCACCTGAAGGCCAGAAAACCCAGTGATGTGCCTTTATACAATTTCCTTTGAAAGCAAATATAGGGTTGATGGATCTTCAAACTTCCTTGCCTTCTGAGAGGAAGACAGGGCATAAGGAATAAGTGTATACCGATATTGTGATATAAGCAAAAAAGACTAATAAAGACAGGTTAGTGACAGCCAAAATAAAATGATTTGTTAAGAATAATGCAAACCAGAGCCAGGTAATCTTTACAAGCCTTCATGTTTGGGGATTTCTTTGCAACATCAATCATCATCCTTCCAGATGCTAGTGAAAATCATAGGTTGTAAAGTGCTTGACTGTGTTTTTCTATTGATTTGTACCTTTTTCGCTTAGATTTACAACTTTTGGTGGAATGATCTCAGAAGTCATTTTGGAGATCGGCTTTGGCACAAGGTGAATTACACCAGCCAGCAGATTGTGTTTACTGCTCAGTCTTCACTTTGTAAAGGTGACTTTGGAGACAATTTCAGGTCGTCGGCCTCCATTGGTTGTCCATTATTATCCAGAAAAGAATTTGGGGTAAGATGATTTGTGGGCCCTATAGAAACAGACCTGTTAGTATCCGAGGACGAAGGCTGTTTAGATGTGATCAAGGAGTACATAAAACAATGTCTGAAAACCAAACTCAATGGGAGGGAAAACCTAGTAAGATTTTCTTTTGTTAAATGCTATTTTCACCTGATAGCTAGTATTCTGTAGCACAGAAAGCTTAACCAATTATAATGCAGAAATTCTATGTTAATTTGATGGTCCATAAGATGCCACAATGTGGTAGAAGGAAAACCAAACCTGTTGCCGTTGAGTCAATTCCAGCTCATAGTGACCCTCTAGGACAGGGTAGGACTGCCCATGGAGTTTCCAAGGAGCAGCTGATGGATTCGAACTGCTGACCTTTAGGCCAGCAGCCAAGCTATTAACCACAGCACCACACACACACACAACACACACACACACACACACACACACACATACACACACGGAACTGACTCACTTCCATTTTCTCCCTTGGAAACTTGCCGCCATGTTAACAACCCTGGGCTAACCTGCTGGGTGACAAGAGACACCATGACCCTAGCCAACTGACCCATGGGAGTGAAGCCATTTTAGACCATTCAAAACCCAGCCTTACCCACCAGCTGACCACAGCTGACCAGGCCAAGATCAGCTGAGCCTAGCCTGGGTAATAGAACCACCCAGCTGACCCACATACTATTTTTTTTTTTTTGTATTTCAAAAAGTATGTATTTTATTCATTTTTAGTTTTAGTTTTTTTTAATTGTACTTTAGGTGAAAGTTTACCTAACAAATAGTTTCTCATTAAACAGTACACATGTTGTTTTATGACATTGGTTAACAACCTCACAACATGTCAACATGCTTCCTTCTCGGTCTTGGAGGACCTTTTTTTTTTTTTTTTTTTGGTAAAAATATACATAGCCAAAGATAACACCATTTCAAAAATTTCTGCATGTACAATTCAGTGACCTCGATTACGTTCTTCCAGTTGTGCTGATATTCTCACTTTAGATGAAAGTTTACAGAACAAAATAGTTTCTCATTAAACAGTACACATACTGCCCTATGACAATGGTTAAGAACCCCACTACACGTCAACACTGTCCTTACTCAACCTTGGGTTCCCTATCACCAGCTTTCCTGTCCCCTTCTGCTTTCTAATCCTTGTCCCTGGACTGCTGTGCCTCGTTAGTCCCATTCTGTTTTATGGGACTGTCCAATCCCCGGCTGAATGGTGAACCTCGGGAGTGATTCCACCACTGAGCCAAAAGGGTGTCCGGGGACCATACTCTCGGGATTTCTCCAGTCTCTGTCAGGCCAGTAAATCTGGTCTTTTTGTGTGTGTTAGAATTTTGTTCTACATCCTTCTCCAGCTCTGTCCAGAATCCTCTGTTGTGATCCCAGTCAGAGCAGTCAGTGATGGTAGCAAGACACCATCTAGCTGTACTGGACTCAGTCTGGTGGAGGCGTTGGTAGCTGTGGTCCATTAGTCCTTTGGACTAATCTTTTCCTTGTATCCTGTTCTCTTCATTCCCTTTTGGTCCCGAAGGGGTCAGACCAGTGGAGTATCTTAGATGGCTGCTCACAAGCTTTTAAGACCCCAGAAGCTACTCACCAAGGTAGAATGTAGAGCCTTGTCTTTACAAACTGTGTTATGCCAGTTGAGCTAGATGTTCCCCAAGACCACGGTCCCCACAGCCCTCCGCCCAGCAATTCAATCCCTCAGGAAGTTTGGATGTGTCTATGGAGCTTCCATGACCTTTCCTTGTACAAGTTGTGCTGGCTTCCCCAGTATTGTGTACTGTCGT